GGGGGGGGGGGGTCGCGGTGTCTGTGCTCAGCCCGGGGAAGGGGCGCGGTGCCCCAAACAGCGACTGTCCCCGTCCCCAGGTGGGTCCGCACCTCCCCGCGGCAAAAAGAGCTGCTGCCCCACCATCCTCCCCCCATCCCCAAAGCCCCCACAGCTGTGCCGAGGCCCCCCCCCCCTTCCTGCAGCACCGGGCACGGCAGGGGGGCACAGCCCCGACCCGACCTCGGCACCGTAGGAACGCAGGTCCCGGAAAGGGGAAGGGGGGGGGGGGAGGGGTGTCTCTGTGTGTCCCCCCCACCCGAGAGCCCCGCCACGCGGAACCCCTCCCTGGTGCCGCCCCCCATCCGCACAGCGCTCCGGTACCGGCGGGGATTCCGCGGGGACGAACGGAACCCCTCGGAAGGACCCCCGGAGCATTTCCCCCGCCGTCACCGGGATCCGCGCTCCTCCTCCCCCCACCTCCCGGTTCCGGTATCGGTTCCGGAGCTCCGTACCACCGCGCAGCCCGTCACCTGCACGCACCTCCGCCGCTTTGTTCACCTTAAAATGGCAGCCGGGAGCGCTGCGGGACGGGACCGGCCCCGGTTTCCGCCTCCGGGGGGAGCCCCGAGGGCGGCCCCGCCGCCGCCGTCCGCCCCCACCGCGGGGAGGGGGAGCGGGGGATGCGGGCGGGGGGTCCGCGTTGTGCGCGGCGTGGAGCGGGAGGTCGGCGATGGGGTAGTTCGTTTTTGGGGACCGGGGCTCAGCACCTCCTGGGTGACATCGGGGGACAGGAGCGTCCCCGGGGTGCTGGGTGCCCCCCACCCACTGCGGGTAACCCCAGGATGCATTGAATCAATCATCATTGGATTTTATTATAAACTATTCTGATCGCCCTGCGGCTGCACCTGCTGAGTCCCAGGGATGCAGAGCCACCAGAAACCCCCAGAATCCCCAGATTTTGCTCCCTTTGCCCACGTGGTCGCCATGCAGCAGGCAGGCAGTGGGTGCCCACAGTGCCATCGCTGAGCCCCACGGTGTCCCCAGGGATTCGGGGGGTGGGGGGGGTGGTCCCCATCCATCGTTCCCCGCTCAGAAGCGGACGGTGCTGCTGCGGTCGTATTCATGGATCTGTGCCTTAATGTGTGTCAGCTTCTCCTTCAGGTAAAGGCAGCGCTGCCGCTTTGCCACGAAGGCCAAATCCTGGCAGTGGGACACACTGAGCCCTGAGAGCCCCCACAGGGATCCCACAGCTGCCCACGGCCACGCAGCACCAAGGAGGGTGCACCTCAAGTGTGCTGGTCCAAATGCAAAATGCAACCCAGACCCCTCCCCACCCTCACCCTCTTCTTCCCCAGGAACTCAGAGCAGACGTGAGCCACCCTTTTCCCATCCCCACTCCCCCCCCACCCCCGTGCACCCCATCCCATCCCACACCCACCGTGCCCACGCGTCGCTGCAGGTGGCACACAGCGTCCCGGCACTGCTCTGCCCTCAGTTCCCCCTGCAGCTCCCTGTACTCTGCGTGTTGATCTGCAAACACCGCTCCGTACTGCTGCCTCTGCCGTGCGCTCCGGATTGCCGGGTACCGCCTGGGGGGGGCACCACCAGCTCAGCCCACAGGAACCCCCCCAAAAACCCCCCTCACCACCACCACCACCGGGGATGGTCACTTACACCACGTAATCAGGGATGGTGTGTGGCTGTGGCACGAGCCTGGGGGGCGCTGAGCCTGAACCCCCCCGCTGCTCGCCCTCTTCGGTGGTGGTGACCCCAGCCCTCCGTGGGGGTCTCCCCGCCACCCCCACCTCATCCTCGAAGACGACACGTTTGGCTTGGACCAGCAGAGGCTTCAGGACGCAAACTGGGGGACACGAGCCCCCTGCAGGCTGCAGGCTGTCCTCAGGGTTACAGGGAATCACCGCAGCCCCCCGGTGCCACCGGGCCACCTCGTGCCACACTTTGAGAGCCACGGCACTGCCGGCCAGGTAGAGCAGAGCCGTGAGGAAGAGGAAGAGGAGCGCGGCCGCCTGACCCCCCTCCACACGACAGAGCTCGGTGAGGAGGGGGCTGCCAAGCAGCTGGAAGGAGCAGAGCCCACCCAGAGTGACAGTGTGAACGTGGGCCCCTGCTGCCGCCAGGCAGAGCAGGAAGAGCAGCACATGGAGCCCAGCTTCGGTGGGGGGCCACCAGGTGACCCCCAGGAGGACGCGGTGGTAGCGGGCGGTGACCCCCAACCCCAGCAGGAGGGCGGTGAGCAGCCAGGCCAGACTGAGCACCGCCAGCACAAAGGGGGTCAGAGGGACCCCCAGCCCCCCCTGGAGGAGCAGCTCGCTGCTGTAAGTGCTGTGACCTCGCGGGATGGCAGCACACACGCAGATGAAGGCCATCCCCCCGCACAGCAGCTGCAGCCCCCCCAGCACCCGCAGCAGCCCTGGCCACGATTTTATGTGGGCAAAGCCTTGCCAGAACGCATCCTGCCCAGCGGCGTTGTCCCACGGTCCCTTCTCATTGCTGGGGGGGGTGGGCTCAGCCATCATCTTCCAGGGGGGGGCTACGGCGATGGGACCCCCCGGAGGTGGCCGTGCTGCTGGAAGGGGGAACCAGGATGAGCCCCCAGCGGGGATCCCACTCCCAGCCCTCGTGCCTCAGTTTCCCCTGCAGGGTGTTTGCATCCGGCTGCCAGCTGCTACAGCTCCATCCCTGTCCCGTTAACGCTCAGGACCCCCACCCAGCCCAGCTCCTGCTGCCCCCAGCATTACCTGCCTGCTGCATGGCAGGACGTGGCCCCCCAGGAGCCTGCCTCCGATTGGCACCACGGGTTAAACATTAACAGCTGTGTGCAGCCCAACAGAGGCTGTGGGTGTGGGGAGAGAGGGCTGTGGGGTGTGGGCTGTAGGCAGGAGCAGCCCCCACCCACCCCACCCAGCACCATTGCTGTGCCAAGCAATGGGGAGCCATGAATCTCAGCACCTGGGATCTGCAAAGACCCCCCGACCCCTTAAGGGCCCCATCCCATCCCATCGCCCCCCCCAGCACCAGTCCCACTGCCATGAGCACAGAGTGACATGTCCAGTTCAACCTCCTTTAATGCGTGCCTCAGCCTGCCCCCCCCCCCCCCCCCGGCCCTCCCCATACCGAGGGTCCGGCTCAAGGGGGGGCACGACCCCCGGGGGTCCCAGCACAGGGCCCCATGGAGCAGCTTTGCCCCCGCACCACACAGGGGCTGCTTGAGTATTGCATCCAGGAATCTCACAGCACTTGACAATGGTCGGTATCGTTGCCCCTACCCACCCACCCCCCCGCCCCCCACACCCCCATTTTACAGATGGGGGAAACTGAGGCACAGAGTGGTGACGTGACTTCACCAAGGCTGCGGCGTGGCCGAGCCCAGACCCCCAGACCTCAGTCCCAGGGCTCGGCCCTGCTCTTGCCACGGGGAGGCTGCCCCCACCCCACAGCCCCCAGCCCTCCTGCTCCCCACCACCCTGACCCCATCCTGGACCCCCACCCACCCTACATCTGGGCCACTGCCCCCAGACCCCCCCAAACCTCAGGGCTCCCGCTCTGTTCCACCACCCCTTTCTCCCCTTTGCCAGGACCCCCCCCCCCCCCCCCGGGCTGCTCTTCTGTTCCACCCCCCAAATCTCTCCCGGGGTCCGGGGGGGACACGGGACCACCCGAATAGGAACATGGAGAGGTGGGGGGGGGGAGGGGGGGGCTCCAGCCTCACGCCAGCACAGTGAACGCAGGAAGTTTATAGAGGGCTTTACAGAACAAAGCTACTGAAATCAGCCACACGATGGCCAGACATAAGGGACCCCGGCCCATCCCTCCCACCCCCACGGTCACCCACTGTCCGAGGAGCTGTGGGGGGCTGTGGAGGGGGAGCGACGGCGGCGGGCGGGGGTACAGGGGGCGGTGGCGGGGCAGAGACGGGGGGCCCAGCTCCCCAACAGCTCACGCTGCTGCTGCCCGATGGCTTGGCTGACGAGCGCCGGCAGCGCCAGCAGGCTCAGCCCCAGCGCCTCCAGCTTCCCCTCCAGCGCACTGATGCGCTTCTCCAGGTCCTCGTTGCGCTCCTGCAGCTCCGAGACCATGTCGTACATGATGTTCTGGGTCTGAAGGTGGATGGCCCAAGGTTGGATTTGGGGGGGTCAGATAGGTGATGGTTACCCACGCGGCCCCATGCCATGTGTGCACCCTGGGCTGAGCCCCCCTCCCCGGCGGCGCTCACCTTGGCCAGGTCCACCAACGTGTTGGCCTGGTCGTTCAGCTTGCGCTGCTCCATCTTCACGCTCCTCAGCCTGTGGGAGAAAGGTGAGTGGGGGTCAGCGTTGCCCCACGGGGTCCCCCGGCCCCCAGCATGCAGCCAACGGAGCCCCCACCCCATGCATGGGGGGCTCCGAGATTCCACGCGACCCTGAGACTCCCAGGGATGTCCCCAAACTGTCACCCCACCCCCCCTCCCCGTTTGGCAGCACGGCACCATGCACACGGATGGGTACGAGGGAGACAGGCACACTTACTTCTGAGCTCTGCAGGGAGGGGGCAGAACAGAGACAGAACACAACAGCGGGTTTAATACCAACACCGAGAGCGCACGGGGACCACAGCAGCACCCCCTATTCCCCCCCCCCCTCCCACAGCCCCAATCCCCAAAAAGCAGGAGGCACCGCGTGAAGCCAGACAGCGGGTGCGTTCACAGGGCACCCCACACCATCCCCAGTGCCACCTCCCCAGAATGCACCCCCCGCATGGGACAGGGCATGGGGGAAGGTCGGATCCAGCCCAGGGGACAGGAGCAAGTGGGGCAGGGTTGGCACAAACAGGGCCCAGAGGCAGGGGACGTTCCAGCCACCAGGCTGGTGGTGGCACGGCGGTGGCACGGCCGAGCGAGCGCCGCGTAGGAAGCAGGTAAAGGTTTGGCACTTACTGATGGATGGCTTGGAGGAACTTACGCTGGTGTTTCCGAACTTTGGCATGGTCGATCTTCTTCACCAGCTTGGTGTGTTTGTAGATGAGCCACGTTTCCCTGAGTACGTTGGCAGCAGCATTTTTCACCTGGAGGGAAGAAGAGGTCGTGGATGGGGTGGGGGGCGGATGGAGGAGAGACGCATGGGGATGGGGCCACGGGGGGCCCTTACCCGCTTTGTTAGCTGCGTATCCATCATGAAGTTGTGCACGTGTTTCTCTGCTTTGGTGAGCTCTAGCTTTCTGGCAACCACGGCGACGACCAGAGCCGTGCAGCCGGCACCCTGCAGCACAGCATGGTGAGGGACCAGCATTGGCACCAGCGCAGCCCACCACCCCCCAGCCCCATGCTCACCATGATGCCGGTGAGCAGACAGACCCCCTTCCCACAGTAGGTGTGCGGCACCATGTCCCCGTAGCCGATGGAGAGGAAGGTGATGGAGATGAGCCACATGGCCCCCAGGAAGTTGCTGGTCACCTCCTGCTTGTCGTGGTACCTGCGCGGGGCCGAGCGCAGCCATCAGCGTGGTGCCACGCAGCGTTTGGTGGCTTCCCCAGGGGGGTTGGGGAGGTGGGGGGGGTCCCCGAGAAGCACCAGAGATCCAGCTCAGCCCTGGGGCCGCACAACAGCGCAGTGCTGTGGGGCCAACTGGGCAGCAGGGACATGCAGGAAGCAGCAGGATGATAGAAGTGGGGAAGGGAAGGGCTGACAGCAGCAAGCCGGGGTGAGCTCAAGCGTGCGGCGAGGAATTTAGGATTGCTGCATCCCTTCACCCGCCCCCAACCCCGGGTGCAGCCTGCAAAGTTTGGGCTTGGAACCTCAGCTGGCACCGAGGGATGCGGTGTGGTGATGCCAAGAGGTGATGCTATGGAGTGACACCATGGGGTGCCATAGCCAGGGGCAGATGGCATCAAGGTGCACGGAAAGATCAGTCCCCAAAGTGCCACCAGTGCCGGGGCTGTGCTCCACAGTGATGTCCCGGGTGCTGCAGTGCTCCCCGTTTCCCCTCACTGCTCTCCTTCCCCTTCTTCCCGCCTGTCCTGCACCCCAGGAGCATCCCCAGGGCTCCTCCGTTGCCCAATCCATGTGCACCAAAGAACTGAACCCCCCTGGAGGTGCTCCAGCTCCACGCTGGGGACAGAAGGGACCCGATGTGCCCTTCCCAGCTGCTTTGGCTCTGCTCCCTTCATCGCTCTGGGAACAAAACCAGAAACTCTGCAAGGGGTCCTGCAGCACACACAGCCCTGCAGTGGGGCAGAGCGTGACCCCCCAACCAGCCCTGGGCACCGCAGTGGGAGGGAGGGGGGCACGGAGAGGGCAGAGAGCAGCTGCTGAGGTTCCAAGTGGAAAAGGGCTCCGAACCCTTTCCAGCTCTGTGGGATCTGTGCTCTGGCCCCAGTGCCCCCTCCCGCAGCCCCCACAACTCGCCAGCTGCAGCTAATCCTAAATTCTGGGTAGCACAAGCCCGGGGGTGGGG